TTTACAAAAAGAAAGGCTCTGCACATAATTTTACCAAACATATAGATAGGATCAGTAGTCTGATAAATGGAGACACCAATACATCAATGAGTTATGTAGTCATTTTTTTAAACAATCAGCTACAAAAAAGAAGTTGAAGAAACAGAAATATACAAAATTATTATATTGCTTTACAAAACAATAACTTTAAATATATTATCACAATGGCTATTATATAAAAGATATAACACAAATTAACAGGATCCTGCTGGTTTCTGGACTCACGTTTTTGGCCACTGTCCTGGTGTTTTATTTCGAGCCAGATGGTGGAGAGCAAATTTACCAACTAATCCTAATGAGCTGCAGGAGAAAACAGTACAGATGCAACACACAGACATTTATAAGTTTGCCATAACACCTGTCAGTATAAGCAGCCATGCTGCCTTACTTTAAGCCTTAACCAAACCCCAGAGTGTAAAAACTCTGTGGGGAAACTAGCAGCTGCAAACACGTTTATTTCTGCTGTAAACATGAAAGGATTAACTAAACATGTAGGCAGCCTCCAGTGGCCATTCCAGGAACTGCACCGTTCATTAGTAAACTTTGATGGCACAGGCCAGCTTCGATGACAAACTCCAATTTACCAATGAAAATGTAAATTTTCACAGCTGAATCTTTTCTGTGCTTTATTTCCTGACGCCTTGCAGGAAAAGACTGACCGATGTAGATAAAAAGGCTCGATTTCAGCAGACTTACAGAGCTCGATCAAAATATGTGCAGTGTATAAAATATGTTTACAGGCAAAATGCAAATTCTAAGCATGAGCCTTCCTACATAACATGGCAGAGTGATCCATAGTTTACAGGGACTCACTTTGAGCCAAGAAGCAGGAATAGAAAGCTCACAGTGATTTTTGGCACCACAGTAATTATCGTCTTCCTGAAGAACAAAACGGTTAAATCAGAGTTCTGCTGCTCGGATGTTGACTGAGACGAGTTCGCCTGGTTTGAAATCTTTCGCTGTTTGCTGTTTAACGTTCACGCTGAATTATAAATTCTTCATGAGGCCTTCCACAGTTCAGCACCACACTGTCTGTGAGGAGCTCTGGCTTAATGCCTTCATCGTGCATTTCATTTTAACAGACATTTCTTTGTTTTAATCATAATTTTTTTTATAATTTTATCCCTTTTGACCAGTTCTATTATTCGATTAATATTTCTTAAATAGGTTTCATTAACTGGAGGGCCAGGTTGTGTCTGCTTCTCACAGATCGCCTGCAGCAGCTGTTGTGCGTCATTACCAGACGTACTAATGCAGCTTTGATATTTCTATGATTTAATAATTGATTAAAACACTTCCTCTTTGCCTTTAAACCACAGTGAATTTGATTTATTGTTGTATTATAACAGCTTAGCTCTTTTAGCTGAGGGTCATAAACCTGCACGTTTCTTACATTTGTTGAATCTCAGCGGTAATCATTAGCGCAGATGCTAATGTAGCTGAGATATAATATACTGAGTGTGAACATTCTCAAAACTGTATTGTATATAGTATATTTTTGTTATTATGTAAAGTTAATTTTTGTCAAACTAAGGTTCCACATGTCACTGTTGAAGTGGGGCATTAATCAGTGTGACACCATTTGTAAACATGCTGTGTGGGGGTTCCCAGCCGGAGCTGCATGGACTCCCCACTGGTAAGGCACACTTTCTGTAGCTCCTCTCGCTGTACTATTATGTGGTTTTTTTACTAAGTATTAGTTCTTATGGCCAAAGTGTTTTTGATTACTTTGAACGAGGAAAATAATAATAAAAGGAACTGCCTTTTATCTGTTACACCATCCGTCTATGTGTTCCTTACTTGTGCTACACAGGGATGAGGAGAGGCCTGCTGTTGCTGTGTGACACTGATTTTGCTGGTGCACTTTGTCTTTTAGGTTTTGTTTCATGTGCATAATGAGTTCATGATCTGAGGCTGCACACTGATGTTAGGAAAAGTTTGTTTTAATATGTATTTTGTAATTGATCCGTCTTAGTGGGGATTTAAGTATTCCAAGTTATTATTAGCGGCTTATTTTTGACTGCACCTTGCTTCATATTTGTCTCGGTTTTACACAGACTCAGTTTCCCGTGAGTCTGTGTCTGTCATCACAACGTAGTCTTCCATTTGAAATCTGCTACACTAACACCAAAATGTTTAGTCCTGAGTCCAGCATCAATGCTGCTGTTTGATCAGCTGTGTCGTTAACTGCTGCTAGAAATGACCTCTAAATATCTCTCCTGAGAGTTTGAGGTTTCCAGCTCCTGTCATACTGGTACAGCACTTTAGACAAAGCCTGCTTAGTGCTCATAATTAAACTGAAAACAGGGGAAATACACTAAAGCTGCCTGTGGCCAAAA